CACGCCGCCATTAGGGAACACCATCCTGTCATTGAACGGCGGGGACGCCGAAATTTTATTTTACTTGTTTATTTCTGGTGGAGGGTGGAGGTCATAGACGTGCAATGTAGAGCGGAATTTAAGCTGTAATTGTAGCACAGCATACAATTTTAGATGCTGTGATTTTAGTGTATTCTTAGTGTTGTCATTGATGCTGTTAGCATTCTTGTCAATTTAATAATAATAATAAATTGGTGGACTTTCATTGGTTGAAATTAGTTTTCTGACTGTTTTCAACCAATGATATTAGGTCTGACTGGTTTGTGATTTCTGCAGAAACTGAGGCAGAAACAGACCTATTAAATTATTTTATCAGTTGATTCAATACTAAAAATTCTCAAGCCATTGCCAATGTTTGATAAAATTCCATTGTCTTCCTTGTAAATCAATAACTTTATTTAGAGCCAATACGACTCTGTAGTCTGTGACACGAAAGAAAAAAACCTAAATTATTGTTAATCAGGCCCTGTTGCATATCCCAAAATGGCCGCTAGTGACGTCGCGACCATGAATTCCTTTATTACATGGGCTGTCACTCGCGCTAGCCTGCTGATTGCAGCCCCACTTAGAGTATGCCGAGGAGTATGCAACAGTAAAAGTTTCTTAGATTCATGGATCCTTAGCTTTTTGGTAATTATTGGTAGGTAGTTCTTGGTAATTGATTTGGTAATTATTGGTATTTTTTTGGTAATTATTGGTATTGTTTTGGTTATTATTGGTATTTTTTTGGTAATTATTGGTATTTTTTGGTATTATTTGGCAACTACTGGTATTTTTCTGGTAATTATTGGACTTTTTTTGGTATTTATTAGTATTTTTGGTAATGTTTTTTGGTAATTATTGGTATTTTTTGAAGAAAGTGGTAATTTTATTGTACACAATTTTGAGGGTGACTTACCCCTCGTTTAAAACTATCTGGTAGTTTGTTGAATATTCTTAGGCACATGTATGATGTGCTGTTACTGTCAGCCTATGGATTGGAAACACTAAATCTTGTGTCCGAGTCTTATATGTAGTATTGCAATTGTTTGTGATAAATTGTGACTTATTTTTATATAGATTCATTAAACATTCATACAAATTACCAGCATATACAGTGAGAATATTTTTTTCCTTAAACTTATCCCTACAAGATTCTCTAAAATTTAATTTATTAATTAACCTTAATACTCTTTTCTGACAGAAATATTTTTTCTAGATTTTGGTTATTGCCCCAAAAAATTATTCCATATTTGAATACTGACTCAAAATTCGCAAAGTATAATGTCCTCAGAGTCTGATTATTTAAATATCGTGACGCAGTTCTGATGTCAAAACATATCTTGTTCAATTTTTTTGATAGTATTTCTGTATGTTCGTAGTAGTTTAAAAATTTGTCCATATGTACTACTAAGAACTTTGCGGAGTTTGATATTTCAAAACTGATGGAGGTTCAATGAACCATTTTTTTTTCTTTTTTTGAGTGTGTTGTATCAAATATTACCAATTTAGTTTTTTTTTCATTAGGAATTAATTAATTTTCATTGAACCAGGATTTGGATTTGGCGAATATTGTATTTGCTTTATGTTCTAATTCTTGTGCAGTTGTGGCCCCAGTCAATAGGTTTGTGTCATTAGCAAAATTTACCATACTTCCTTCATTTTGCATATCGTTGCATAAGTCACTTCCTGGGAATGGCTTGGTCGCAGATACACAGATTGCAATGACCTTTCAGACAGAGAGGCATTGCCCCTGTTTCTGTTTTTATTGATTTCCGGGCATGATTTTATAAAGTACTTTTTCAGCTGCGTTACGATTTTATAGGGATCATAGTATTTATCTGAGAAGTTTTCGAGAGTTGTATTATTCTGTCTGTTGCTTGTCTATTTTCGGACTCTTCAATAAATTTCTGACAAAATCTTAGCTTTTTTGTAACTTTTTTTAAGAGTCCACTATATGTATTGAAAACATTATTCGAAACTAATCTCATTTTAAAATAAAGCACTCTTTTCTGTCTGCAGGACTCGAGGCAGGACTTTTTTATGCCACTCGTGATCCAGTGCTTTTTTTTTGTTTTTATACAGCATTTTTTAATCATGAATATTTTCATAAAGAGGTTAAGAATCAAATTTAGAAACAGAAAGTAGGCCTCATTCACAGACTCTGAGTTATAGACCAGCGAACAATCAATTGCCATCATCTCCAACCTGAAAGATACAAGTTTACTCCTTGGAAAGGCTCTCTTAATATGTATTTTTTACTTTGCCACTAATTTTCTGTGAATGATGATCAGAGAGTGCTGAGTTCAGAACATAACATGAAAAACCCTTTACGAAATTACAAAAAATATTATCTAACAAAGCTGATGAGTTCAGACATTCCCGGGTAGGTCTAAAGATACATTGAATAAAATTATATGCATTAAATAAATCTAATAACTGTTTAACTCGGTGAATTTCTTGATCTAGGAAATTCACAATAAAATTGCCTGCAATAACAACCTCATAGCCTGAAAAATCACAATAAATTACATCTAGTACCTGCTCAAAGCGCTCAATGAAAGTTTCATAAGAACCAAGTCCCCTGCGCTAGATGCACATCACGAAAATGTTTTGACTGTTTTCAGCCACTGCACAGAGTTCAATGAACCCTTCAATACTCCTGGCAGACATTCCTGGAACTTCCTTGAAGCCTACTCCACTACAGCTACAGTATATACATACACCATCATGTTTCATATCTCTTCTGGCATATGGTGAGACAAGACTATATCTCTCAATTTTAACAAATTGGGCACATTCCTGTGCCAGCCAGTGTTCGCTGAATACCAGCAGGCCAGGCTTCTGGCACATTCCATCCAGAAAGCACACTGTCCAATATTTTGTTCCTCAGAGACTGTATATTTTGGTGCCATATTGTCAAGACACAATCTGAAGCAGATTTGTTTACTGGCACTATGTTTTGGGGTTGCCATTTTTCTAGGACACATTCCGCATTCCCTCTGATCGTGCTTTCCGCAATGTTTTTGCTCTTTGCATTCCTTTGATGTATGATTATACCTATTATAATTGTAGCATCGAATTATGCCAATGTATTCATAACACCTGCAAGCTTTACAGTTAACAAAAAGCCTAGCTCCTACGTCTGACATCACATTTTGATAGGTTTCTGGATGACATTCTCTGATGGCAAAGTATGTCTTCACCATTTTCTTAGATGTAATTAGCCTTACCTGGCTCCCTGTTGTAATCAAATTTGAATTCTGCAGTCATAATTTTTCAATTACTACTTGTTCATCAAGTTGTTCTTCAAGTCCAACAATCTTTATACATGGCCTTTTTCTGTTAGGAATGGTGGTTACAACACCCATTTTTGGCTCAAGGTTGTCTCTTAATTTTCTTGCATCTGTTCCGCTTCTGCATTGGATAACAACTGCTTCATCTTTGGGGTTTGTGATTCACTTAATACCAATTCCTAGTGATGCCGGATCCATTTGCTGTTTTATGAGTTTTTGGGTTTCATGGCTTTCCCCCTGCTTTTGTTGGCTCTACAACCTCTGTAACTTTCTTCGCCGCTTTCGCATAATTTAGGGTTCTGGCGTGGACCCTTTCAGTGTTTAGGCCTAGGTTTTGGCTTATTTCTTCTATGGCCCTTATAACAACTTCGGTGTTTTTTTCTACTTCGCTAATTTTGTTTATGACTTTTAAATTATGTGACACTATGCCAATGCATGTCTCACAAAACCACATAATGTTTTTATTTTCTGCCACTGCTTTCAGGGTAGTATCTCTTATTTTGATACACATGTTGTGAGACTTCCTGGCAGTATGCACAAACTATACCTTTACTGTTTACAACAAAATTGTCTTCACAAATAGGACAATTTTCAGGGGAACACGACATTTTGGCACAATGAATTATGGTATGTATAGCATTAATTGAATATCCCAGACTATGGTATTCACTTGATTTTAGAGGTTAGTTCTGCAGTTTTGCTGAGATTTAGTTTAGACAAGATTATGCTCATTTCCTGAAAAGTTCCGCATAGCACTAACTTTCTCACAGCTCACAGGTTGAAAACTGATATTTTTGACTTAACTTTTCAATTTTTTTCTCGATGAGGGTCGGTGATTCGAAAAAACTGCAAAAAAACAAAAAGTTTCTTAATAAGGTAGAAATGACTATGTATTTTGTTTTTTAGAATCTACCAGCGGCGCACCGCAAAAAATGTCAGTGGCAGAAAAGTGGGCATGACCCCTGAAAAAACATCACCCTGTAGATCATTTAGCTTCTATTCTTCCGTAACCTATATTTCAAATTTGAGCTAAATCCCTCAAAAATCGCAGGAGCTATAAAGAAAAAACTGAAAAAATAATAAAAATTTCAACACCATGTAGATCAGTAATGAAGCGTTTGCGGACCTAGGTTTATTAGAAATTTTAGTCCTGAGGTAAACCAAAGAATCACCTACTTCCGTTTGTACATGATATTTAGGGACACCCTGTATATAAGCGCATTTTATTTTTAAAATGACCCGACTATTAATCATCCTGTTTACAATGAACAGTAGGTAACCAAAGTATGAACTGAGTTTTTAATACCCATTTTTCTTTTATTTTGTCGTAGTTCAATTGAACAAACTGGTGGTCCCACTTTCATGTTTAAGGAACTTGTGCAACTGTAAAACAATAATACATTTCAAAATTACCATCAACGATTGTTGATATATATACCTCTAACCTCTAACGTGCTCTATTATTTTGATTGAATGGTGTCAACGTGTCTTTCAAGAATTTGCTGCAACTTAGTCATCTACCGCATTATCTTCTGACTTACGTCTGCATCGGCCTGTAATGTAACCATGGCTGTTGTGGTGTCATAACTTGAGTTAGACAATCTCTAAAACCCTCGTTCCTTTTTCTAATCATTTTTTCATTGTTTTCATGTCACATAAGTATATAATTTTTTTTATGCCTTCCAGTGATTTCTCAATCCCCGTCATCAAAGATGGGTAGGATATGGAAGATTTTAACCAGGAAAAAGGCAATAGATCCAGTGACAGCAGAGGAAACCCGACTTAATAGAATTTTGAATGTATTCGACTTGACTGCACTTGGAGTGGGAAGTACCCTTGGTGTAGGTATTTATGTTTTGGCAGGCCAAGTTGCTAAAGAAACAGCTGGACCGTCTGTGGTGCTGAGTTTTCTCATTGCTGCTATAGCCTCGGTATTTGCGGGTAAGAATATTCTTTGAAAAATTTATATTTCATTCAATATTATAGTCAATGTGAATAAATGGAATTAGGGGTGATTGGTCACACTGATCAAAATCATGGTAAATGTTTTCATGTTGGTTATTTTCGAAAAACCTTGGAGTAGGTACCATAAGTAACAAAAATGCCGAGATAGATGCATATAAATGTAGGATAACGTTCCATGCATTTTGCAATAAAAATATTGATAACATTTTTATATGCGCTACACGTGTGTCAAATCGCGCAAATGAGAAAAGCGTTATTCACATTGACCTATATGCTAATTTTATCCGAATTGTCATTAATGTTTTTAATCGCTGTTGAGTAATTTATCAGTGTAACTGCTTCACAGGTGGCTTGATAAGCTAACATTAAATTTATTGATTTGGAATAGTGACATAAACAGATTGATTTTTTTGATAATTCTGAAACAGAACTGAAATTCCAGATTATTTATTGTTCTAAAAAAATTACTACAGCGATCCTATTTTTCAAAAATTGTATAATACATATACAGGGGTGTTCCAGGGAAAACAGTCCACCCCGATTTATTGAATTTGGAATGAAAATATGGAAAAATGCTCGGACACGTTGATTTTTGATTTCAGGGGGAACTTTTTCTCAGTATTTTTCATTCCCGTAGCTGCAACCCCCTAGCTAGGTGGAGAACAATACCCCCCAAATTTGAATAGGGGATAAGGGTCGTGTCATTCCTCTTTTTAAAGGTCTCTTTCTACATCATAAAAAGCGTTTTGACACAAGTAAACATTAATTCTAGTTTCAAACTCACTCAATTTCAGGGCTCTTATTTCTTTTGGCAATTTATTATAAAACATTGGAGCATAGTAGTTTTTGCTATACCTAGAGTGCTCCAACCTGGTAGAAGGTAACCTGATGCTCGAAGCAGTTCTTATTTGGTGATTGTGTATTCTGACATGACATGATTTTATGCTGCAATGTTTTCATGTCTTATTTCTAAGACGTTCAGACGGTCCGTCTACAGGTTCAGTTTTCCTCCGAGCTCTACAAGTTCCTATTTTAGGACGGCTTGCCGTCATCATTTCATCAATTTCTGCTACATTTTGAAGGCCAATTTGGTTAATAACGTCTGGTTGTAACACTCCAGGAGTTGCATTTACTTGTCCTGTATCAGAAGAGTTCTTGAAAAATGCTGCACAAAAACCAGTTATTCGTTGTCTTGAATCCAGATCTAGAATAATTATTATGAAGTTATAATCAATGTTAATTCCAACAATTCAGGAAGAATTCAATCAGAAAATTTTTCAAGATGAAAATCATCTCCAATCGCCTATCACAATAAATTAACAGGCTGGGTTCCGCCATGGTTTCAGTACTGCTCACCATCTCCTCTTCATAAAAATTGTCATAGAAAAAGCCAACGAACTCCCTGTTTCACTGGATGTTTTATCAAAATTTTCTAGGGTTGAACCTAATTACTATAAAGAGCGACATAGAATAGTCCAGTAAATATAAATGGAGTTTTCGAAAAATTTTACGAGGGCAGGCTGATTTTTTCAGAACTGATTAGAGACTGAGTATCGAGCCAAAAAATCACACTCGAAGGCCTTGTGCGTTCGGCCCTATTGGTCTTTTTCTTATTTATTTATTTATTTTTTCGACAAAATTACCTTTATAAAAGTTGTACATAATTACATTCTGATCAACTTTGTCCCATGACCTTTTTTGATAGCGATTTTAGTTTAGGCGCTGCGACCATTTTAGTGCGTCAGAATTTGGGTAAAATTAAATAGCAAACCTTCAGATTATTATTGTACAAGGTCTGTTCCTTTGTTCCTTATAATTAGTGCGGCTTCTAGAAATTAGGTAAACAAAAAATAAAAAATAATTTTTTTTCAAATACCTACAAAGGTTGGAGGGTTTTACCTCTATTATCTTTTGCACATGTCAAAACGGACAAATGACAGGTGCCAACAGTCATATTAATGACAAACACATTTTTTTTAAATGGAACACCCTGTATATTTTTGGCTAGAATAATTGATTTTTTCTCATGTGTCCAAATATACCGTATATGTTGATATTTGGTGCAGCTGTTTTTGCGCTATTTGAGTTTTACATTAAGTGAGCCTCACCCTTGATACATGGAACCAGGAACAGACCTAAATTAGGTTAATGTGAATGCATTTTTGAACTTAAATAGCGTAGAAACAGCTGAACCAAATATCAACATATATGGTACCTATAGGGTCAACTGGGGTAAATGTGAAAAGGGGTAAATGAAAATACCTTGTATTTTCTGGCTAAGAGTGAATTTGACCTAAAATTGACATCATTATCCGCATTTCCCGCGTTTTGTTTAGCCAAGGGTGGTTTTTGAGGTTGAAATGGCAGTTGGTTCTGAAATGCGGCCATGTGAACATAACAGTGCAGTTTCAACTGAAAAACAGATTTGTGAAGGTTTTTTTAGAAGTGAATTGCTGACCCAAAAACGATAACTGTGATTCGAATTTTGGTTTAGGTGATTGTTAATGTCATACTTGCTTAGTTTTAAACAAAAAACTAGAAACATTTTGCAAGTAGTAACCTACAAAATTCTATTTACATTTACCCCAAAAGAATTTAGTGTTGGGGTAATTGTAAATCCTAAAATGGGGTAAATGTAAATGCAAAAATTTCGGTAATCAGGTAGGTAGTGAGTGTCTTTACCACAAAATTGCCAGGATATGCCAAGTCCTAATTCGAATGCTAACGATCCTGATCAGCCACCTGACAATTCTACACCTATTAAAGGCATACACACATCCACCACCACATTCACTTCCAACACAATAGTTAGCATATTTGCTGAGCAAAGTAATAGTTACATTAACGCGTGACATTAACCAATCAAATGTTAAAAAGCTACAGAGGCAGATTATACCGAGACTAAAACCACAAAACAAATGTATAGCGAAATTTTAACTACCCCACAGGTTCTAGAGAAAATGGAAACTGCTCAAAAGTTAAGAGATCAAAAGAAGGGGACCAATAAAAAGCAAAAAGATAAGAATGAGAATGGGATTAAAAAGGCATATGGTAAGAAAAGAAAGGTTGTTCATGAGGAAGAAGAAATTCAAGAAGAACTGTTAGACGAATCGGCTATGTGTCTCTTCTGATGAAGATTTATTAAAGTTAGTCATTACTGGAATCAATAAGTGAAGTTGAATATCATAAACCAGTTTGGAATGAATTAAAAACAGGGTTGTTTGTATTAGTAGATTTTCAGGGTAGAAAGAAAAATAAAATCCATTATGAGTAAGTTTGTTGTATACAAAACACCGATCAAGAAGAAGGAGATGTTACGGTTCAAGGGTTTCAGGAGTTAAATTCTACATCAACAGAGTTTGTTGAGAAGCCAAATGATATAAGTTACAACATTTGAAATGATTAAACTAACCCAAACCTTCAATATCGTAACAAAAAAGTCATTTATGTTTTTCCTGGGTCAGTAGCGGTTTTCGAAAAATAAAGCTGGTAGCAGATTTGTGACTGTAGTGATGTTAATATAATGAATAGGTTGACATAGGTTAAGCCCACTGTTTAATGAGCTACTAGCTGTTATTTTTAAGTGTTTTTTTGTTAGTTTGTCCCTCTGATGCCCTTAGAAATTTACATATTTTATTTTTTCTGGGGTAAATGTAAATACCCTTCTTTTGAATTTTTTTTTTATAAAAACATAGTCATACTAAATTTGTTTTCATTTGCCCCTTAAAATTCTAGTATCATCCTAATACTCCATGAAACCTTCGTTTACATTTGCCCCTTTTAACCAGGGTAATTGTAAATGCGTGGGGTAAATGTAAATCAAAAAAATAAATAAAAAGTAATGTGCCAAATGACGGTCTGTCCTGGTAAATTAATATGTGATACACTAACCGACACTGAATCCAAATTTTATAGATTTAGAAAATAAGAAACCTTAGATAATCACTACCAAAGTTAAAATTGTTAAAACTGTTCACAATTACCCCAGTTGACCCTATCTATATTTGGAATCAGAAGAACAAAATCAATCATTGTAGCCAAAAATATACATAGGGTGCTCCATTTAAAAAAAGAGCAAGTGTTTGTCATTATGACAGTTGGCACCTGTCATTTGCCCGTGTTGACATGTGCGAGAGATAATAGAGATAAAGCCCTACAAATTTTATATTTACAATTTTTTTGTTTGTTTAAGTTGTAGAAGCTGCACTAATTATAAGGAACAAACTCTGTACAATAATCTGCAGGATTGCTGATTAATTTTTTCGGAATTCTGAAGCACTAAAATGGTCGCAGTGCCTAAACTAAAATAGCTAGCAAAAAATGTATAAGGCAAAATTGATCAGAATTTAGTTATCTGCAACTTTTATCAGGGTCATTTTGACAAAAAAAAAAAAAATAAGAGAAAGGCCAATAGGGCCGAACGCACAAGGCTTTCGAGTGTGATTTTTTGGCTCAATACTCAGGACACAGGCTCCAATCAGCTATGAAAAAATCAGCCTGCTCTCGTAAATTTTTTTGAAAACCAATATACATATTCACTGGACTATAAGAATAACAACATCCGATAGCTTATCAAAGTGTATGTGGACCATGTGAAAGTAAGTACCTCATTCGACAAAATCGTAAACAAAATTATGTGTAAATCAAGGTTAGTTCGATTGAAATCCATGATTAATGTAATATTTATTTTATAAGGGCCCTAGAAACTAGGATGTGAGTATAGTATGACTGAAATTATATAATGGGCGTCAAATATCCAATATGATATTCCCCTGTCGCCTAATCTTTTACAATACGATGAAATGTTGAAAGCGACGGGTATTAATTTTATTGTAGGTAATTAAAAATGACTCACCAAGTATAAGATAAACTTCATTATTTACGAAAAAAAGTGGATTATTTTATCTCATAGAGATACTAATAATAATTATCAAGTGCGGAAATATTATGACAATTAACAGGAAGCCAAAAAAAAT